CCCTCCCCCTTGCCGGCTTCCCCCCCACTTCTCCGGCTTAATATTCAGAGCCACCGTTCTCGCAGGCGGGGCTGTCTCTGGTTTCCGGGGCTAAACCCGCGCTTCTCCTTTCCCTGGAAGATCCATCCTGCGGCTCTGCCGCCTCCCGCTGCCCGGGGCTAACTGCACTAGCTTACCCCCCGAAAACCCGAACCTCTTTCTGGCATGCGAATTGCCCCGAAGAGCACCTCAACACTCTGAAAAGCAATTATGGTCTTCCTGTTACTATGCAAAACTTTAAGCAGTTTGCATGCACTGCATCCTTTCATGACAAGCGGTCCCTATCCTGTGCTGGGCAATAAGGAAAAACATCCTTTAAAGGCAGATACTTAGGAGTGTTATCATAATTTATTCACCTTGTGCAACTATTTCAGTGGAAGGTAGTGGCTGCAGTCTATTCTGGAAGGAGATTCCCCACTAGCCAAGTTTTCCTTTATGTGACCTTCGCGAAGCTTTCTTCATATCATTGCTCCTCACATGCATTTCCCCTGTTTAAAAGAAAGTGTAAAAAGTTGATCAGTTTTAAAATGGATATATTCTCAGTTCACTCAGAAGTTTGGGACTATGAAAGTTATGTTTCCTTTAATAGAATATCTATAGTATCCTAAAGTGACCAGAAGTATGCTAATAGATTCTAACTGTTTACAAAACACATCAAAGGATTTTTTTTGTTGTTATGACAAAAGCAATCTGACATGTATGTAACAGCATATGTAGCTGTAATGCATTAGCGAGATGTAAATCAGGCTTCATGGGGACTGGTTCACGTCTGAAAGATTTATGGCTTCTGCTAATAAAAAGTAGAAGCGAGCAAAAATCACAATAGATAGTTAGAACATGAAGTTTCTTCTGGGCAAATGGCAGGCTGCAGGGCACGGCTCTAAGTAGGTTAGTCCCTGTCAGCACAATCCCCACCCAGTTATCTTCATTTCACAAATGTAGTTTTTAGAATTTAACAAAGTGCTGTTTGTTTGACTCATGTTTGTTTATGAATTTCCCAGGCTCAGTTTAAGTTTTGATGAATGACTCATGAAAACTGTCCAAATGTACTTAATTTCATTTAATAAGTATCTGCAGCTCTGATTCTATATTTAAGGAGGTTATTAATTTCCATTAAAATCCCCGTTGGCAGGTTTTTCACAGTCCTCAAGGAACACTCATTTCTATGTAAAATATGCCTTGTGACTTCCTTTCAGCAGAGATGATTTATTTACCCTATTAAATGAGTATTAGGAAAATCTAACTTTTTGATGTTTTTTTAATGAAAGCATAATTGGTAGGTGACTTTGTCTGGAAACTCCTGACACGGACATGAAACCCAGAAGCCCATATTTGCACTAGCAAACTTCACTTAAATGACAATCTTCTCTTACGGGTGTTTATTTTGTGCACTTGCCCTGTGAAGGACTTTCTACTACATTTGATCACATTCACTTAAGACGATAAATCAATACTGATGTTTGATTTCTGGATATTTGAGTCTTTGAGACCATAACAAGGTTTCAACAGCATTTGAAAACTCCTTACTAGAATGAGTAGATTTCACAAACTTTGTATTTCTCATCTGGGTGTTTAAAAATCTGGCATTTGGGAACTTTCTATGACATTTTATGAGCTTTGGATAGCCTTAGTGGCAAATTTCCTGAGGTCCAGACCCAAACTCAGTAGGTTAGGCTTTACTGACTTCTTTTCTGCAGCTTTAACTAGGCCAGGAGAAATGCAGTGGTCTGTGCGTACACTCGGTGTGTCTGTGGAAGATACGTTGGTTCATTAATAACTTAAACTGGGCAGTATCCCTGTCGATGTAGTTTTGTTTTTCAGTGAGTCTTCACAGTACTGAATTCACTATGTAACCATTTTTTATTCTGATTTATTATGTTGTAGACATTGAGATTAATCTATTTCCTGCTCCAGGCCTTCCAGAGCCCTGATGATCAGCTGCGTTCGAGAGCAGCTACTGTAACTGACACTGGCAAAATGACAAAGGTCAAATGAAGATGGTTAGAAAAACACCTAGAATGTCAAGCTCTGATGTACTGTTATATGAAGAAAATTGCTACCAGTATATCATTTGTAACATAAGTAATTGAAACATTTTGTCTCTCCTCTGCTGGCTCTTGGGCTGAGTGCCCCGATATTCAACCCTTATCTTGCTACAGTTCTGGATAGCTTGACCTCCTCAACCATGAACATTCAAAGGGTGCTAATATACTTTCCCCCATTGCTCTCAATATTATGATCTTTCCTGGATCCTGACACACCTCACTTCTGAGACCACTTCTACTTATGTTCCCCCTTACAAGAAGGAATGAGTATCTTCAGATGGTTTCAAGCTCTCAGTCTACTGCTTGATTTTGCAAGTGAAACTATAAAGGAAAAATGAAAGAGAATGCTACCAGAAATAAAAAGTGTGGGTGACTAAATGTAAGAAGTCAAAACCAGTAACTGTAGTATCAATAATATCTCCGTGTGGTGAAATGTATTTCCTGCATGATGTCTCAAAGAAAAATCACCAATTAAAATATTCAAAGTTGTTAACAACAGCATCCAGAAAAAGTGGTCTTTTCAACTTTCTTGGGTAATGAAAATAAAAAGAGTGAGATCCTCCCCAAGCACAGTAATTGTACCTTTTCCCATATTCAGATATCTGCTTGGCTTAGAAGTTTGACTTGACACTGAAATGTTATTGAGAAAGAAACTGCCACCCACCATAGTCCTAACAAACACCTGTGTTAACATCCTCTTGAGGTATCACAAGGAGGAAGAAGAACTGAAGGTACGGCTTGCTAATGGCAAGCAGAATTCTGAAGAAAATTGTTTTCTGATACATTTATAGCTAACTACCAAGAACATGTTGAAATTCATGCTGAGCATGAGGAGGATTTGAATCAAAGTATCACATGCAATTTAGGCAACAAGGAACTCTACAGGGAAGCTGAAGACTTAGAAAAGCTACAAGAGGGTTTGGAGGACTTTGTCAATGACAGAGCAATGACTGCTCCAGCAATCTCAGCACCTTTGTCTAGCTGAAAACAAAGTGTAAGAATTACACAAAGATGAAGCTGAAAAAACAATTCAGAGAAGTTGTGGAAGCTTCCCATTATTGAGCAACACAACCGATCCGAGTTAAAAGGTTATGGATTTAGTATAAAACAGGAAGAAGCTGAAAGGGGCTGATGGAAATACAATACTGAACTCCTTCTTCATTCTTTTCTTATCTACAGTGATCAAAGAGTTGTATTGCTGTTCTGGTGACACAGAACATTCAAAAATTACAGAATCGCAGAAGATACTTGATAGCTGTGCTGATTCAAAAGGATCTGAGCTCCTAGCAATCTCATTTGGCTTAAAACAAACTCGGTTTTAGCACTTTTTTCAAAACTCGCAAACAGGATAGGTACTGGAAAAGGAAGCAAGTTGTTTAGAGTACATGGCATCTGTGGACTGATATCACCTTTTATACTGGGGACTTTTAAGTCAGAAGCTGAATTTCTTGGACTGAAGCTGTTTTCATTATCATGGGTTTGGTCTAGGGATGATGTAATGTTAATGGACAGAGGAACTGCCAACAAACATGAACTGTATTTACAGACTTGGCAATGACACACTTATAATATCCTGGATGTGAGCCCCCAACCTCAGATGCTGTGAGACATTGCTCAAGTAACAGCACAGATAAGAAGGAGTAGCTTTTTCTGACAGAGGAACTGTAATGAAGAGCTGCAGGTAAAGTTTCCTGGCACTGTATTCTTTCGGCAGTTCTTCTGATAAAATCCAATTAAATGCTTGTTTTTCATTGTTCTCTCTCTATTTTTTTTTGTGCAGTGCCAATAACCTTTGACCCAAACCCTGTCCTCTAGCAAGACCCACTTTCTCTGGGGAATATGCACATGTGGGAGGTTACTGCTCTCCAGTTCACAAATGGAAACTGCTCTGACTCAGTCCCAGGGTAAATAAAAGCAATGCTTTCCCTATCATAAGCAACTCTAATTTACATAAGCAGGCTATCCTCCCCAAGAGACACTCCACCAGTTCAGAACTGACAGAATGCCGTTCTGCTCCACCTTAGTCCAGGAAATGCTTTTGTAAAAACTTGTACTGCCAAATTTTACCCCAGCAGAGAATTCCCTCGGGATAGGGGCGTCATCTGATTGAGATGATTAAAGAGTCCAAGGAGGCAGGATCATCAAAAGAGAGAAAACATCCCTTGTATTTATTTTAAAAACTAAAAGATGACTGTTAAAAGTAGAACTGGCCAGTATTATCATGCAGAGTAAAGACATCCAGCTCAGCCCAGAAGGTGGCAAAATCTTCTGGAGGACAAAGTCAAGTGTAGAGAGGTTTGCATATTTATAAAAGTGGTCTGTTACACTCCTGCTCATTGAGCAGATCTGTGAAATTTGGGGGAAAAAATGGTCTCTTCATAGCTGGGAAAACATCTGGAGCATAGAGATGCCATTTCTCTGAAAGAGCTTGCAGCACTTGAAATGTTGCATCCTATTACAGATTTAAACTCTAGATCTTAACCACTTGATTAACCTCCTGCTTGTAAGAAAAAAAGAATTGTCTTTCAATGGCCCACCTCAAGAAAAATTGCAGGAAGAATAAATTTTTTCTTTCCCTTTTTTAAAATTAGGAGCGCTCAAAATTGGGGTTACAGTACAATCGTAGTGTCTTGCCCTGGACAAGGACATACTGGAGGTATGTCTTTTGTAATATTGCATCCACACTCAA